GGCTGCGACACGACGGTCTCGGCAGCGAGACCGTTGGCTCCCACTGTGGTCGCCAGCTTGTTTGCGTCAAAAGTTGGTTTCGTTGTGGAATTCATTATATCTTCGGTCGATTACAATAAATTCAAAAGAAATAGTCTTTTTATAAGACTTCTTTTACACAACAAAAGGAAAATTACAACTCTTGAGAAACAAACGCAGGACCGTTGTTTGGATCGCTGCTTGCGTGGGATCTTTGCCTGTGCCGGGAGCGCTTTGACTCGTGGACCACCAAATCACAGATTCTGATTGAACCGTGAGGGGTTTAATGATTCTTCCTTCGTTTATCGAAGTAAGAATTTGAAGCGAATATCTTATCGATGTAAGATGTTCACTCTTCCAAAGATCAAGTCTGAGCTTAGATCTCTAGGACTCGCTAGAAGCTTCTTGAGGATGTTTGTGAAGAAGGAAGACTCTCTCTCTTGCTCTAATTCACCAAAACTCAAGGCTCTCTGCTCTAATCTCTCTGGAAAATGCTCCGCCCCTGTCAATGATGGCCATAGGGGGGTATTTATAGCCTCCTTAGACGATAACTGAAGAAATAACTAGTCAATAACTGTCTCTTTAGGCGCGGCAGCTGATGCTGTCGCGGCTAAAGGGCGCGACAGTCGACAATGTCGCGGCCAAAGGGCGCGGCAGTCGACACTGCCGCGGCTAAAGGGGCAGTTACATGCCGCGGCAGTCGACACTACCGCGGCTAAAGGGGCAGTTACACCCACGTTCATACGTGTTTGAAACAGTTCTCCCACGACCTTTAACCACCTTTTTCGTGGTTTAACTGCTTTTCCACGTCAGCACACGTTCTATTTCTGATACGCCGCCACGTGGACTTTAAATAATCATCAGATAACTGTATTATAACTGCTGTAGCATCCTGCTTTAACTGCCGCGGCACCATAGGTTGCAGCGGTTAAGCCGCGACACCATAGGCTGCCGCGCCTTAGCCGCGGCACCTTGGTCTGCCGCGCCTTAGCCGCGGCACCATGTCCTGCCGCGCCTTAGCCGCGGCACCATGTCCTGCCGCGCCGCCATATGTTGCTTGATGACGTGTATATTGTTCTTCTATATCGTCTTGAGTGGTGTTTGAATGTCTGTAAGCATTTTTTTGATGTCTACAGGTCTTCATCAGAAAAAGAAATGAACACAACGAGGTTGTGCGCTACAAAGCACGACATGTAGCACAAGGTTTTTCCCAAAGACCGGGAATAGACTATGAAAAAACATATTCTCCGGTTATGGATGGGAATACCTTCCGATTCCTAATAAGCCTCTCATCTCTGGAAGGCCTAGAAATGCAGCTCATGGACGTGGTGACTGCATATCTATATGGCAATATAGATAAAGATATCTATATGAAACTCCCTGAAGGATATAAAATTCCACCAGAGATAGCAGATAGACCTCGGGACGTCTATTCTGTTAGGCTTCAAAGATCATTATATGGTCTTAAGCAATCGGGGAAAATGTGGTATAATAGACTAAGTGAGTTCCTTGCTACACAAGGATTCACAAATGATAAAGTCTGCCCGTGTATCTTTATAAAAAGATCGGGAACAAGATTCATTATAGTCGCCGTCTATGTCGACGACTTTAATCTCATTGGATCTCCTGCAGAGATAGCTGGGATATCTGAAAGCCTTAAGAATACTTTTGAAATGAAAGACCTAGGAAAAACAAAGTATTGTCTTGGCTTACAGATCGAACACCTTAAGGGTGGTATCCTGTTACACCAATCCACATATACACGGAAATTACTTAAAAATTTCTGAATGGATAAATGTCATCCTCTTAGTACACCAATGGTTGTTCGATCATTGGATGTAAAGAACGACCCTTTCCGTCCGCTGGAAGAGGGGGAGGAAATGCTAGGTCCTGAAGTACCTTACCTCTGCCATTGGAGCACTATTATATCTGGCTAACTGTACGCGTCCTGATATAGCGTTTTCAGTTAACCTACTAGCCAGATATAGTGCAGCGCCCACAAAGCGCCACTGGAATGGAGTTAAGCATCTTCTGCGCTACCTCCAAGGGTCTATAGACCTGGGATTATATTTCCCGAAGGGTGGGTCTCCCACCTTAATTGGTTATTCAGATGCAGGTTACAGGTCTGATCCCCACACCGAGAAATCACAAATCGGATTTGTGTTTACATTCGGTGGTACGGCCATCTCCTGGAGGTCTGTCAAGCATACCACTGTAGCAATCTCATCCAACCATTCCGAACTCCTCGCGATCCATGAAACCAGCAAAGAATGTGTTTGGCTTCGTTCTGTCATTCAACACATCTTAGTGTCTACCGGCCTGAAGACTGGTGACCTTGAGCCAACTACTATATTTGAAGACAATGCAGCCTGCGTTGCTCAACTTCAGTCTGGCTTCATCAAGGGTGACAAGACGAAGCACATATCTCCCAAGTTTTTCTGGACGCACGATCTTCAAGAGGAGGAGCTAGTTAAAGTACAGCAGATCCAATCATGTAATAATTTAGCTGACTTGTTCACTAAGGCTCTGTCTAGATGTACTTTTGTAAAACTTGTAAAAGGAATAGGGATGAGACATCTGAAAGACCTACAAGCCTGAAGCTTGTATGGTTCAGGGGGAGTAACCTATGGGTTGTACTCTTTTTCCTTAGGCTGATGGTTTTTTCCCACTGGGTTTTCCACAGCTAAGGTTTTAACGAGGCAAACAAGTTTACTCTGGATCCAGAAGTATCCATCCCATTAGCTTTACGAACCCTGAAGTGTTCATAAGCTAAACCCAAGGTAATAGATAGATAATGGGGAGTATTATGAGATGAGGGAGGCCTTTGGCCTCCCCCTCATTATCCCTCCATTCACACCCTATTTATGGTGGTGTAACACCCCACTAAGTGGGGGTGACTCTTGGGTACTCAACCTATTCACATTGACTAGTATAAATATATATCATAGGCCTTTGGCCTATGGATGAGTTTCAAACAGAAGGAAAGAAAAAGAAAAGGAAAAAAGGAAAAAAAATCCTAACCCCAATTTCAATTTAACCCCGCCAAAGCCCCTTTGCCATCTTCTGCTTTTGCCATAAACACATGTTACCAATTAGAAATCAAGAAAACAAGGATGAGGTGGAGAATGATGGAGCTCTTCCATGAAGGGACAAAGTACATGCATGATGGGTATCAGGGTTTTTTGTTATTCTCACCAAGTCTCCAGTGATCATCAACATGAACTTTGTTCCTAATATAAATGTGAAGGCATCCAGTTCTATTTTTTAAATTTAGTTCCTCTAACCATTACACCAAAACTTTAAAGTTATGATGATGATCAATAATTATAGTTTTATATTAATTCTAACATGCCCCCGCAGGTTGAGCCCCTTTTTTTATGGGTTA